TTTGGTCAAACCTTGTAAACCACATTATAGGCAATATTATGAAATGTTGTGAGATTTTGCAGGTATATTAGCACTCAATGAATGTGTGGAGGATGACTCTCAGCTACTACTCCACCAAGTCATTTTTGTGCTGGTTGACATTGATTGCTGTGATGACCCTCTTGAATTAGAGTGATTCCAGAAGTGAATGTGTTTTAGCTGTGCCTCCAATAATTACTTTCTGAACAATTCATTAAAATCTGACCACTGGTTAATGAGATATTTTTGCTAATGTTGCAGACAAACAAACATGCACACACATAGACGGGCACAAACATTTTTGCATCTTACCTGTAGCACCGTGCTGCCGTTGTTCGGCGTATTGTTTTTGTACTATTAGTGCTTGGCGTTTTCTTAGTTTGGCGTATTTCTTCGTTCATATCTTGGATCTTATTACTGTTTTTCTTTACAATTTATACTTTTGTTGGATGTAACTGGGTCCCTGTGTACACAATTTCATTCCACCACTTGCACCACATATGATGTGAATCCTGGATCCTATAGTGGGGAATGATAATAAACTCACTTTTTAGTTTGGAATCATTACAAAATAAAGAACAAGATTTTCTTTTGTCTCACTTTCTGCAGCTGGTCTCTAGTTAAAATGAGTGAATGTCAGATCTCTGTGAAGCTTGACAAAGAGAAGCTCATACCAAAGTAAGTCCATTTCAACCACCGTTCAGCTTCATTGAACAATTAAAGTTACTGTTGTGTAGGACTAATCCACTTGTATTTGTGTTCAGGTCTGACATACTGTCTCTGCTGAGAACCTACAACTGTTATCACGAAGGAAAAAACTTCCAGCTGAGGACTCGTGAGGTAAGACAAGCAGCGTCGAGTGTCAGTGCTACTGAAGTGAAAAGATGATTAGGAGATTTGCAAACCGACGTGCTATATTGCAGATTGGCTCACACTCATAACAACCCCAGGTCTGATTTTAAAGCAGATAATAAAAACAGAAAACATTGAGGTCAGATTGTCTTCCTGAGTGAATTGCAATTCTGTGCCTAGACCTGCAATTCCTGGGATGTTTTCCAACATGGGTAAGTAGCTGGTAAACCACAAAAAGCCCCCATTTACCTCAAAATGAAGTCAGAATGAGAGGAAGAGTCTTCAGTTTCACTCATAAAACTCCACCTTGAACATTCCCACACTTAAGCATTTAGCTGCTGTGTCTTTTAAGCAGTTTGTACGAGTTTAGATATTTGTTTGACAATCATATGGGTTTATGGTTTGGAGATCCCCATTGTGTTCACCACTGGGTTTTCTGGTGGGAATAGCTGCATGTATACTTCTATGTGAGTGTGTCTGTGTAAGGGCAGGGCATAGTGGTCAAGATGTGCCCCTCATTTTTGTCCCGCATGTCAGACCCACAAGTTTATAACACACAGTATTGTCACGTTGGGAGGAAATCCCCTTCAGGCCCACTTTAGGGATAGGAGGAAACCACTGATGTTACAGAATGGACTTGATATCAACCACAACGGAAACATCTTAACCTTAAAAAAGCCTCAAGGATCTGAAAAATCAATACAGCTATATTTCTAATGTTAATGAAATTGACTCGGCATAAACTGACTCAAAACTGGAGACTAGTAAACTACTTTGTGACAGGTTGCCTCAAGCTTTAATGTGGGATTTCGTCATTATGTCATCGTCCAACTATGAGAAGGGGAAATTGAAAGGAAAAGTTAATATAATTCTGTCGAAACTTTTAAAAATGTAAGGGCGACTTGTGCTTTTTTGTGTGTTAGTTAGGTTCAACTGTCATTTTTTTGTAAGGAACATTTTTGTGTGTTTTTCACAAGGCACAAAAGACAGTAACACAAGCTAATAAAGATTTAAGCTATGAAATTTAAATCCATGTAAAATTGCTGGAACAAGTAATTATCAAGTTTTTTTTCAAGTAGGAATAAATGTGATAGATATATAAAAGGTATGACATTTGAGTATGGTTCACCTTGTTTTACATGGGAGATGTCTGTATACAGATATATATTGCTGTCCTAAGTTGTTTTGTCACATGAGTCATACAATGTAGCTTGTTTTAATTAGGCTTAAAGTCAATATTTGTGTGCTGTTATCATATTAAACTCCCAGATTAAATTGTTTGGACTGGAGTTTATGTTTTCTCAGTATTTCACAACATTTTAGTGGTATTTTGTTTATGTATCAGGGTGAGTCAGAGCTTACAGTGCCCTTCTAATCCATCAGTTTGGAAGCGGTTCAGGTGTAACTGTCATTGTTAGACGGTTTGTTTAAGGCTCTCTGTGGACAAACATGCACCTGATGCAACTTATTCTGACTGCACAGACTTGTCTGCCAATTCTATTAGAAATATGCATTTAACAAGTAGCTTTTTTCTTAATGTTGCTGATCCACACATTAATTTTTTTAAGTGATAACATAGGACAGGATTTATATATATATATACAT